CCCAGAAAGCCGGCATTTTAAAACAGCCAGTTTTTTCCTGCTGCCGAGTCAGGACAATTTCTTTGCAGCACGCAACCCAGAAACGGCAAAAAGCTGTCTTAAATTCTCTCTCTCTCTCCTTCTTAAGCCCTCTCAGGTTTTTAAGTGGATTTAGCCCATCACGTCTGGGCGCCATCTGTTGAAATAGGGACGGCGGCAGGGCTGCGTCCCCGGCACCCGGCCGCCCGCATGGCTAGCTTATGCCCGAAATAATTACACGGAAACTGTATTCTTTCAATATTCTACACCTATCAGACTCGGGCTGCTTGAGACGATTTTGAAATTGAGTTCAGCCGGTAAACCTGAAAGAAGTAGAGGCCAATAAAACGTTTGTGAATTCATAGGTCCGGGCCGTGGCTCTTAAGCCGCCTCTTGGCTCCCCAAACAAGGAAAGGCTGAGTGAGTTGAAGGCATTTTGTGCGCCTGCAAAGCCAGCCTTGACTCTCTCTGAGATCAAGATGAAGCAATTTCTGTTTCAGAACACCGATGCCTTCGACTGACCTTGCTGCTAAATACTGACCGTGATTTTTGTGCAGCAAAACATTTCAAGTTCAAAGTAAGATGGATACATCTTGGCGATCCATGGAGGAGGGAAATCGATTTCTATGATAAATGCTGTGGCTGTGGTGCTGTCCTAGGGCACGGTCGGCAGTCCCGTCAGAGCGCAGCATATTCGGTCCTGAAAGGCAGCGTTCCCTGGCACCCAAGTGCTCCTTACCCCGGGATGTTTTAGGCTGCCCTGCAACGCGCAGGGAAAGACAAGCACGTCTATCCATCCGGTTACAACATCCCAGGGAACTTTTGATCCGGAGGCCGCTGTGCAGGGCCGTCAAGGAGAAATGAAGTTGGAGGGAATGGGGGCGGAAGGCAATCCGGGTGGCGGAGACACGGAAGGAACCGGGAGGGGTGGGGGGGGGGATGGGGAGGCGGGGGACGGAAGACGAGTGGGCCAGAGTCTGGAGTACAGAGACAGGATTAAAGGAGGCAAAAGGAACGTGGCTGGGAGCACTGACGTAGCAGGACTGTTCTGTGGCGGCAAGGGCAAAGCAATTCAAATTAGGCGGATCAAAGGAAAGGTGGAGAATTCATTCCCCATCCAACTGGGTGTGTGTGGAGCGGGGCGGGGGCGGGCAGGCCACCGGTGCTTTGCAGGCAGGTGTTACACATTTCCTTCTTTGTTCTCTCTTCTTCCTGGCCTCAGCCACGCTTCCCAAGAGGCACTGGCCTCAGCCAGACTCTCCTGCGAGTGACTTCCTCCAGGCAAACTGATAGGTCGGTGACCAAAGTGTGTGGACTGCTCTCAGTCACGTCCCCTGGCATGCCATCTCGTCGGGACTTTGTTCGGCAGGCACGAGAAAGCCACTAAACTTTACGCAGGGTTTAGAAAGACCAGTGAGCAAATAAGAGCGACGCAGATGGGAGAGAGGCTTCGCCACAAGGACCTGGACCATAGCAGTAGCCCTTAGTGACCACCAGCAGGAGCTGGGAACAGGAAGGGACACCTGGGGCTTCGGCTGGCTTTCAGGTCTGAGCTGTTGCGGGGTGGTGACATTGTTCCCGGGGAGGGGGGTGGGGAGGTGGGAAGGACTGCTTTCTGGAGGTCACGTCTAAAGTTCTAGCTCTTTACCTATTTACACCCTGTGATAGAATGAGAGTCTATCCTGGTGCCAGGGAACCAGGGAAGCCTGGCGGCCCATTAGGTGGCGCATGGCTCCTGTCAATCCCGGTCTTTGACTCTCCCTGAGCTTCTAGGAACTGTGCCTCTTCTCCTTGCCGGCACATACTGATTTCCTGGGGTGAAGGGCCGCTATTCCCTCCCATTCTCTCATGAAGGTTCTCTGGCCTCACCAAAGAAATCAATGTGCTGAGCTCAGAGCACTATGGCACTCAGCTCCAAAATATCCAGATCCTCTTTGTGTCCACGTCTCGGTGTTCTGTCCCAGGTATCTATGCCAGGAGGGCTTCTAGGTCAGTCACCCCGCCCCGACTCCAGATTCTCCAACCACTCTCAGCCACCTCCCCGGCCAAGATTTGCCGACCCATCTAGTTTCGATCTTGCAGTCTTCTCTCTGGACGCAGTATATCGTATCTATATCGGACTGAACTGCAGCCAACTCCAGTTTAGGTCGGTAGACAAATCTTGGAGGAAACAAATGCCATCTTTGTGAGGCTGTGCATGTAGGTTTTTTTTTTTTAGTTTTTGTTTGTTTTGTTTTTTAAGACAGGGTTTCTCTGTGTAGCCCTGAACATCCTGGAACTCTCTCTGTAGACCAGGCTGGCCTCCATCTCAGAGATCCACCAGCCTCTGCCTCCCAAGTTGCTGGGATGAAAGGCGTGCGCCACCACCACCCACCCAGGTTGAGGCTGTACTTTTCTAAGAGTGAGGCAGGTTCCCTCAGTTACCACAAAGACCAAGCAAGAGCCAGAGCACAGAATTCTTCCACAGGCATTGGCTTGGCAATTCCTGACTTTGGCTCAGTCTTACATTGCTAGGGAATGCTGGGATTTAGCCCGTATTTGCCAGCATCTCTGGTCTCTCCACCGCGGCACCAGCTAAAAGCATGAACAACCCTGGCTCCCTCCCGCCCAGAGTCCTGTTCAGAACACACCACGGTGGCAGCTGGGCTCTGAGAATCCAGAGAGCGCACGAAGCCATTTTCAAGCTTGTTATTTTTGAGGCTCAGAGCTCCAGAAATGAATTCAGAAAGAAAATGAAAACCATAACAAGACAGACAGCAGTAGCGCAGTCGCCACTAACAAAAGCCGTCAGCCGAAACCAATTTGGACAGCACGGCTCGGTCTCGGCTCATGAACTTCACTTTGCCTTAGAAAAGCCTTTCAGCACGTGTGCTCATGGGTGTGCGTGTGTGTGTGTGTGTGTGTGTATGTGTGTGTGTATGTGTGCGTGCGTGTGTGTGTTTGCATGCATGCTGTGTTGTGGGCATGAAACTGTAGACTGGCTTTCAGGTGTATTCAACACAAAAGCAGCAAAGGAAGCTTGCTTCATTTTGGAAATGATATCAGTAGGCTCAACCTCAGTAACTGATAGTACGATTTATAATTAAGAACTGCGTCTTTTCGTGAAACACCAAGAAGGCGCAGTGGGTTAAAAGGCATTGCTGCCAAGCCTGATGACCTGAGTCCATTTCCTGGGAGCTGTAAGGTGGAAGGCAAGACCTGACTCCACTAAGTTGCCCTTTGACCTCCACATAGGTGCTGTAACGCCTCCCTCCATGCCCCACTGTTGTAGAAAATTATTTTAAGGTGTATAACTTTTGTTTATGCTACATTTGTTTAACTTTATGAAGCTGTGTTTCTTTAGCCTGTCTAAAAACACTTGATGGTCTAGTAAAGAGCTGAATGGCCAATAGTGAGGCAGGAGAAAGGCTAGGCGGGGCTGGCAGGCAGAGAGAAATATAGGAAGCCAACTCTTGGGAAGGGGCGACGACGAAGGAGCAAGAATAGAAGGAGAGGGGGACATCAGAGTGCAAGCCCCCAGCTACTCAGCAAGTCACAGACAAAGAGTGAAAGTAAGATAAACAGAAGTAAGGAGACAAAAACACAGATGCAAAAAAATGATAGGTGGGATAATTTAAGAAAAGCTGGCTAGGAACAAGCCAAACTAAGGCTGGACATTTATAAGTAATAAGCCTCTACGTGTGTGATTTCTTTGGGAACTGGGTGGTGGGCCCCCCAAAAAAACCAAAAGAGTAAAAACATTAAACGAAAACCAATTACATTTTGGCATTTCAACATGGGAGTAAAAGAAAATACAACACCACACAAAAAATTTTAAAAAATGTAATTTTTTTAAATGTTAAAGAAATGTGTCTACTGGGTCTTTGTCCAAGCTCTGGGGGAGGAAAGGTTTTATTTCATCTTAGACTTCCAAGTTACACTCGACCACTGAGGGAAGTCAGGGCAGGAACTCAAGCAGAATCCATAGAGAAACTCTGTTTAATGGCTTGCTTCCAAACCCACACTCACCTTCGCTTCTTTTTTTTTTTTTTTTAATAAAAAAAACTGTATTTACTTAGAAGCATTCAGAATGTCAACAAAACAGCTGCAATTTTTTTTTGCAATTACAGAGTGGTATTCAGTTAACAGAACAACAATTATCTTCGTATAAGCTGCATCAGAGACAACTGAAGATGAAAAAAAAAACAAAAAAAAAAAAAAAAAACCCAAAAAAAAAAAAAACCAAAAAAAAACCTACCGTCCCCATATATAACTAATTTGTGCTGTGCACCAACAAGAACCTGCTTTAAATTTCCATGCCAATTTACAACCCCCAGACTGTACCAGGCAAGGTTAGTGGCTATTGAAAATACCACTAGGACAGGGCTATCTAAAGACACATTCGGTAGTGTGTTAACTATACAAAAAAAGACACTGTACAGTTTAAAAACAAATCTTACACAGCCTTACATTTCAATTTTTTTTTCTTTAAAAGGAGTGAGTTGTGTACAGGGGGGTTAAATGCTTTATAGACAAGAAAAAAAACTGCGCTAGAACCAACTTATTCATCATCATCTGATGTGGGAGTGTCATATATCAATCTGTTGATTTCATTGGTTAAGTTATAATAAACCAACTGCTTGGCCTCAGCTTGGAACATAGATGGGAGGAGTAAACAGAATAGAATTCTGGGCGGAAGAGGAAGTGAGGTCAGACTCTGCTCTGCTCCCGGAGAGACCCGACAGCTCTGCTGGAGCAGAGACGCCATGCTCAGCTCTCCCAGGCAACTCCAACCCACGATGGACTTAGGCTAGAATCTTCCCGGTAAGCGCACCTTGGCGTGCTTACAAACAATTATTAGAAATGGGCTAGTCCAGGGGCGAGAATTAGCCTGTAAGGGTTAGAGTTCATGGGCCAAGCAGTTCTTTAAATGAATACAGTTTGTGTGTTGTTATTTCGGGCGTGAGCTAGCCAAGCGGCTGGGGTGTTGGGGACGCAGCCCCGCCGCCGCTCCTATTTCAACAATCATCATCTTCTTCCTCATCTTCATCTTCCTCTTCTTCCTCCTCCTCTTCATCCTCTTCGTCTTCCTCATCATCTTCCTCTTCCTTCTTTTTCTTGCTCTTTTCCGCCTTGACCACCCCCTTTTTTGCTGCATCGGGTTTTCCTTTAGCTCTGTAAGCAGCAATATCCTTTTCGTACTTCTCCTTCAGCTTGGCAGCCTTCTTTTCATAGGGCTGCTTGTCATCTGCAGCAGTGTTGTTCCACATCTCTCCCAGTTTCTTTGCAACATCACCAATGGATAAGCCAGGGTGTTCTCCTTTGATTTTGGGGCGATACTCAGAACAGAACAAGAAGAAGGCCGAAGGAGGCCTCTTGGGTGCATTGGGGTCCTTGAACTTCTTTTTGGTCTCCCCTTTGGGGGGGATGTAGGTTTTCATTTCTCTTTCATAACGAGCCTTGTCAGCTTTGGCCATGTCTTCAAATTTCCCCTTTTCTTTAGCAGACATGGTCTTCCACCTTTCTGAGCACTTCTTGGAGAACTCTGAGAAGTTGACAGAAGCATCAGGGTGCTTCTTCTTGTGTTCCTCCCGGCAGGTTTGCACAAAGAATGCATACGAGGACATTTTGCCTCTCGGCTTCTTAGGATCTCCTTTGCCCATGTTTAGTTGATTTTCGTCCGCGAGGCACAGAGTCGCCCAGTGCCCGTCCGGCTCTCGCTTGCCCCGGCGCTGTCTCTATGGAGCTCAATGTACTCTCACCTTCGCTTCTTACACAGCTCAGCCCACCCACCTAGGGGATGGTACTGCCCACAGTGGGCTCTAGGCCTTCCTAAGTCAATTAGCAAGTCAGAAAATGCTCACAATGGTCCACAGTCCAATCTGATGGATGCAATCCTTCAGCTGAGATTCCCTCTTCCCAGGTGTGGCAAGATGACAACCAAGACTTACCATCACAAGTTCTGAATATCTTTTGGAGTCTTAGAAGACTAAGTCTCCTCAATAATATGAGGGACCAACCATACGATAAAGAGGCAGGAACTCTCATCCCTTACCCCCTTAGAAAAAAAAAAGGGGGCTGAAAGTTGATTGCCATCTGTCAACTTTCTGACTGTATGACAACATGTCTCAGACCAAAATCTTATGAGGAAGACTTATTTTCACTCAGTTTCTGAGTTTCTGACTTTGGTGGCTGACCATTGCTTTGGGGCCTGTGTCAAGGCAGGACAGACAGCAACAATACATGGCAGAGTAAAGCTGTTCACCATGTGGGGGTCAAGAAAGACAGACAGCAAGGGGGCGGGTTCCTAATCCCCAAAGACTTAACTTGCTTCCACCTCTCAACTGCTTCACTGCCTCTCAACGGAGCCACTGGCTACACACACCCCATTAATACTCAAGTCTTTAAAGGTGCCTATACAAGTCATAAATCATCAATAATCATTCAATAGCCAGGTGACTAGAAAGAGGCTATCATGAAAACTCAAATGAACAGGATTCTGAGAGCATCTGGGCTACAGAACACATAGACAAAAGCACCTCCAAGGTCTACACACACGGGGCAGGGGGACGGAGGGAAGGAGGGAGACAGACCTCTGTATTTCTGGCATCTACAGCATCTTTGTGTCTCTTGTGACATCCCTTACAAAGGGCCTGTTAACTGTTGAGGGCTTTTCAAAGTTGTTAGAGACACTCCATCTAGCAAATCACTAAACTTGAGAAGGGGATCATGGGAACCCTTAGTTCAAACCATTGTGTCAGAAGCACGAACTGAGATCTGAGACAGCATCTGAAGTGAGCAGTCTTGCGGGACTGAGCCCTTGACCATGAGATTTGAGACTCCCAGAGGCTAATGTCTGACTGCAAGGATCCTCGTGCAGTGTCTGTGGGAGGATGGATTGCTGGTGTCAATCCCATAACACACTTGGATGAGCAGAGGTGAGGGGTTAGGCTGAGCGCTGACAGCACAGGAGAAAACACCCCATTTGTTTCACTCCGGCTAGACAGATGTTCCCTCCTTACCGTATTAAACACTAAATTATTTCTTTGCACTTTGTCCTCAAGAGCCTTTACTCCCCAAGGCTTTGCCAGTCCACATATTGGTGCTACCTTCAACCCAACTAACTGCTCAGGCCCCGAGAATCATCACTGTAAAATTCTTTCACTTTCCCGCGTATATTCTATTTTGGTATCCTGACATGCCACCTCCAAAGGTAACCAAAATTCACTATCTTCATTTCTATTTCCCACTGAATATGCTGGCATATGTGGATTAGGAAGTATTCTTAAGATATTTTATGTCCGGCACTCAAAAATGTTTGAAAGCCATTCATTGTCCCATCATGTTATTAAGGACCCTTAGGAGTGATCAGTCTTGAGGGTGGAGGCCTTATAAATAGGATTAGTGCTGTTATGAATGGTGCCTGAAGTAGCTAGTCCCTTCCACCATGTGAGACCTCAGAGAAGGCACCATCTATGAGGAACTGGGCTCTCAACACACATTAGATCTGCTAGGGTCCTAATCTTGGACTTCCCAGCTTCTAGAACTGTGAGTAACAAATTTCTGTTGTTTGTAAGTAACCCAGGCAAAGGTATTTCTTTATAGTTATAGCAATTCAAAGACACTGCATTTGCTAATTTTTCCTCATGGAAACCTGTGGGTTGATCTGCATACTTCCAGTGGAGTGTATGCTGAAGTCAGGAACAGATTTTGGGTATGGCACACCTTACTCCCGGCTCCTGAAGAGGCCCATGGAAAACCATGGGGATTGGTGCCAGCAATGGTACAGAAGTAGTAAGGTTGCATGCTATAATGTGTAGAAGTATGTCCTCAGAAAGTGTACATTCTAACCACTGTTAATGATGGGGCCTTGTTTGGAAACAGGGTCATTGCAGGTGTGCCCATGCAATCAGCTAAGGTGACATCATTCTGGTATAGGCTGGTCCCTGAATCTAGTAAGACTGTTGTCCGCAAAAGAAGCAGAGGAATAATACAAGCCGCAACATTATACAGTAATTGCTCAGCTATCTTTTCACGAGCGACTTATCGGGGTCAAGGGCCTTGGTAAAGGTTAAACCAAGTTTCAAGGAAATTTTGGCGTTATTGCTTTGTAGATAAAGTTGCTGTCTTGTGCTGCAGATTTTCGCTGTAGTTAACTCTCTTTTTGCTACATGTTTGGGAATTAAGTCCCACAGTTGAGAACTGTTTTCTAAGCCTTTGGGGCTCAGTGATCACATTGCCCTGGCTACTCGTGAGAACAGTTTCCCACTGCCAGGCCTTGGTTCCTCTCTCCTAGGTAAACACAGAAATCTGCCTTCCTGCCATCATCTATCAGCAGGCGTTGGGTCAACATTTAGGGTCCAAGCAAAAGCACCCCATTTCAGACATTCACAGATCTCCAAGGACACAGAATTACTACTTGCCCCAGCTGCTGATTCATAGCTGCTTAGACAGATAGAATAAGTATGCTCTGATTTTACCCCACTTAAAAAAATTCCTAACTCCTTACGCTCACTTTCACCTTAGTTTACTGCTGGTTTTGGTTCAGGAAATTTACTGCTTGTGTTTTACTCTCAAGGACAGTAGAAGAGAGATAATTAACCACAATCCAGAGAAAGACCCAGAACGACCATGAGCAGAATGGCTGATAACAGTATGCCCCGGAACTGATAATTTAGAGGCCTGCGTCTAGTCTTCGTTTCTACTGCTTAGAGCAACAAGCCTAACTCCAGACCGAGGCCTGCAGAAATCACAGTGTCTGGTGAATGTGCTAATCAGATCAGGAGCCATTAGCTTCCTCAACTGTTTACATAGGTTGTCTGGTTACATGGTACCCTCTGTGCATGCTGGGAGAAAAGAAGCGGGCACTGATTTAAAATACAATCTGTGCCCTATTTGTACTTTTACTGAAAATAAACTTTTTAGCTCTTTACCAACCACCTAAAAATGTAGTATAGCACACTAGGTTCCCTTCTAGAACCCCTGATGATGTCATTCCTTTCTTGACTTTCTCCACTAAGGAGCCCTCCTGACGTGTATGACCTATACTAGCCACGCTCACAGCCACGGATCTGTGTGCATGAAAACTCTTATCTGGTTCTTATGGGGCAAGATTGACTAGGAACCTGTGTGATGGGGGATGAAGAGAGAAAAAAGAATAAAGAAAGATGGACACAAAGAACCTGCTGTGAGTAGACTTCCTAACCCTGAGATTTCTAGCCCCTTTTCGCTTATTGTGGAGTTGTCTTTTTTTTTTGGGGGGGGGGGGATTGAATCAGAAAGATAGTACAGTGGGTGTTCAGTGCCTGCAGAACAAGCATGAGGGCCTGTGTTCCTATCCCAGCACCCACATAAAAGTTGAGTGTGTACTTGTGCACACCTGTAACCCCAGCACTGAAGCAGAGACAGGAGGATTCCAGGAACTCGCCAATCTAGCCAACTGGTGAACTCCAGATCCACTTTAGAGAACCTGTCTCTGTGGCACAATAATACAAACCCAGAGACAGACACTGGGGTTCAAGCTGAAGATCAGAAAAGCAAAGCAGTGAGCCTCTACAGAGACCATTTTACCTCTACCAATTTTTCAGACAAGATCCTGTCTCTACAAATCCTCAGGCTCCACACTCCACTGAGTTCCTGTCTCTTCCCCTTTATTCCTCTCTCCTATGAGCCAAATCACTCCTGCCTCCATCTCCCTAGTGCTGGGATTAAAGGCACGAGATCTCATGTGTTGAGATCACTTTGGTATGAGCTATTTCTCTTTCAGACAGATTTACTCTTGTGTAGCCCAGGGTGACCTTGAATTTACAGAGTTCTGTCTGCCTCTGTCTCCCAAGTCCTGGGATTAAAGGTGTGTGTCACCATTTCCTGGCCTGTGTGACTGCTTTGCCCTCTGATCTTCAGGCAAGCTTTATTTATTAAAACATAAATAAGCTGGGCGGTGGTGACGCACACCTTTAATCCCAGCACAGAGGCAGAGGCAGGCGGATCGCTGTGAGTTCGAGGCCAGCCTGGTCTACGAGAGCTAGTTCCAGGACAGGAACCAAAAACTACAGAGAAACCCTGTCTCAAAAAAAATAAAAAAAAATAATATACCACTATATTTCTCAGAAAATAAGGTGGAGAGGGAAAAAGGAAGACATTGGGAGCTGACCTCTGGGTTCTACACATGCACTCACAGGGCAGTGCACCTACACACACACACACCCCACATCACAGAGATAAACAAAATACTAGAAGAGACACAGGGAGAAGGGCACTTGCAGGCAGGACTGGAGTCTTGCACTCATGAGCCAAGAAGTACAGGACTGCCAGAAACACTGAAAGTCTACAGCGAGTGCAGGCCCCTGATGATACTTTGACTTCTGACCTCTAACTTGGACTGGGAGAAAGGAAATTTCGGTCAGTTTAAACCCTCCCCTCCATGGTGCTTTGTCCCTGCAGTCCTGTTGTTCACTACTTGGGTAACATGAGAAGTGGAAAATATCTCAAATAAAATCTACCTCTAAGATCTCTGATTTATGAGTTGTTGGCGAGTAGACTGAAACACAATACAGGACCCAGGGAGTCGGGACACCTCTAAAGTAGGTCTTAGTCTGTGAAGGCAAAGTTGTGAAAGCAAAACTGCCACGTTCCCTCTGAGCCAACATCACCCCAACCCTTGGAGCAAACATCAGACCCATTTGTTTCATCAAGCAATGAAAGTGCTCATTAAACTTCTGCTACCTCATCTGGGATTAGAAAAAAAAATC